GACCAACTCAAACTCGGCGGAGGTCTTTTTATCCTTCGCCTCAAGTCTGCGTATGATCTCAGACATAAACTGGTCCTGACGATAGGCTTCCACCAAAGACTGAGTAACATCGTCCGTCAGATCGAACTCAGTAATCAGCGCACCTGAGAAGTCCGGTCTSCRYRAYAAGGCATCAGCAACCTTGTTGTACTCCCCTTTGAGATACTGAGGGTCAAAGTCATATTGCTCAATGACTTTGATCCAACGCTTGAGAGCGTCAAAGAGTACCGGCTGTGTTCTCATCCATCTCAGGGTCTGATGATCAGTCTGGAGGATGAAGAACCGCCCAAGGAGGTAGTGTCTCCAATGGGTGAGAGCCTTGTACACCGCATAGAGTTCCTTCTCATAAGTGGACTTAGCCAACTTCTGAGACGRCATTTTCTTGGACATGTACTCTACTGGCCTCAACTTTGGCCCCTCCTGCTGCGCAAGCACGGCGCCAATGCCATATTGGCTAGCATCCGTGGTTACTATAAATGGCTTATCAGGATCGGGTAGCTTCAAGACTTCATAGTGCGTCAATGCATGCTTCAGATGTCTGAAAGCAGCCTCACACTCATCTGTCCACTCCCACGGGGAGTCAAGGCGGGTTAGATCAGTCAAAGAAGCGGCCACAATGCTATAGTTTTTTACAAAATTCCGGTAATAGCCTGTCATTCCTACGAAAGATCTCATCTCAGTCACAGACTGAGGACGTGGCCAATCACGAATGCTGGCCACCTTTGCGTCATCGGGCTTCAACCCTTCCGCGGAGATCTCATGACCCAAGTACAAGATACGGGTGCGGCCAAACTCGCACTTTTCACCGTTGATCTTGAACTTGTGCTGTCGCAGGAGACTGAGAACTTTGTCTAAGTGTGCTGCGTGATCCTTGACAGTCTTACTTAAAATAAGTATGTCATCGAGGTACACGACGACAAACTTATCCAAGTAGTCATGGAATATCCGATTCATAGCGTGCTGAAAGCTGCCAGGAGCATTGCAAAGGCCAAAAGGCATCACCACAAACTCGTACAGACCGTACCTGGTCTGAAATGCGGTTTTGTGTTGATCCTCGGGCCGGATTGCGATCTGATGGTACCCGGACTTCAGATCTATTTTACTGAAGTACCGACACCCTTGCACTCTATCTAACATATCATCGATGCGCGGTAGGGTCTCTCTGTTCTTCACAATGATGGCATTGAGGCCCCTATAGTCAATGCACATCCTTAGAGTTCCCTCCTTCTTCTTAGGCACGAATAAAACTAGAGACCCATAAGGAGAGACACTCGGCCGGATCCAGCCCTTCTCTACGAGTTCCTTGAGTTGGCGGCGAAGCTCATCAAGCTCGCCTGGAGACATCCGATAGATCCTAGCCCTTGGAATACTAGACCCTGGGATAATCTCTATCGCGTGGACAACCTCCCTCTCAACAACCCCTGTCGGCTCTTCAAATAGATCAGGGTACTTGGCAACTACTCCCTCTATCTCTGGCGGCATTTTCACCGGCTCGCCTGCAGCAGAGACATAGACTAAGTACATACCCTCCTCCTGATTTTGCTTATAATAATTATAGAATGCGGCCGCACACATGCACCCATAGGACTCAATCAGACTACTAGCTTTGAACTTATGTAATCTGGCGGTCCCTCCAC